GTGAAGATCAAATGATGTAATGTAATATATGCAAGCACACTTTGGTAAACGCTGGCCCCCACCCCTGGACTAGTCCTCAGGTATACTCTCTCATATACCTGGGATACTTATGTGTGTATCTTCCAGATCCTGCTCTCAAAGACCCCTCCCACATGGCTAGGATACTCAGAAAGGGTACACATCTTGAACAACTGCATTCCTTCCTATTTACTTACTTTTCCAAAAGGGTTATTTTCTGCAGCTATTAAATTGCTACCCTAAACTATGACCACATAGAAAATTCATTTATTCAATACCCATTATGTATAAAGTACTGGGAAAAAAGGGAATAAATAGTAGGATAAACAAAAACAGGTCCATGTCCATGGCAACATGAGACAAAGTTCTATCATAATGAAGGAGAGAGATACCAAAAAACCTAGAAAAAGTTAGGAACATCCACCTTTAGGAACAAGCTTAAAGGATCTTTGAAGACAGTGGCTTGCATATCCACATGCAAAAGAATGAAGTTGGACCCCTACATCACATTATATACAAAAATTAACTCAAAGTGGATCAAGGACCTACATATGAGATCTAAAAAGTATGAAACTCTTAGAAGGAAACATGGGTATAAATCTTTGTGACCTTGGATTAGGCAATGGTATCCCCCCCCTTTTTTTTGGTGGTGGGGCTGTAATTGATGATTAATGGTTTTGTAAACATGACACCAAAAGCACAAGTCATAAAAGGAAAAAAATAATTTGGGCTTCATTAAAATTAAAAACTTTTGTGTCAAAGGCACTATCAAAAAAGTGAAAAGACAACCCACAAAATGGGAGAAAAACATTTTAAATCATATATGTGAGGATTTGGAGAAACTAGAACTCTCATACATTTCTCCTGGGAAGGTTAAATGGTGCTGCCACTTTGAAAAACAGTTTGGCAGTTCCTCAAAAAATTAAACATAAAAACAAACAAAAAACATATGATCCAGCAATTCCACTCTTAGGTATATACCTGAGGAAACTGAAAATACACGATCACACAAAAGCTTGTACACAAATGTTCATAGCAGCATTATTCATGATAGCTAAAAAATGGAAACAACCAAAATGTCCACCAACAATGAATGGATAAACAAAACGTGGTATATCCATATAACGGAATGTTATTTGGCTATAAAAAGGAATGAAGTACTGATTCATGCTACAAAGTGGATGAATTTTGAAGACATCATGCTAAGTAAAAGAAGCCAGATACAAAATAGCCATGTATTGTATGATTCCATTTTTATGAGATGTCCAGAATAGGAAAATCCACAGAGACAAAAAGTTGTGGCTAGTGGCTACTAGGGATAGGTAGTAACTACTAATATGGGTAAAAGGTTTCCTTTGGGGGCAATAAAAATGTCTAGAATTAGATAGTGGTGGTAGTTGCACAACTTTGTGAAAATACTAAAAAGCACACTGAATTGTACACTTCTTTATTTATTTATTAAGATTTTATTTCTTTATTTGACAGAGAGAGACAAAGTGAGAGGGAACACAAGCAGGGGGAGTGGGAGAGGGAGAAGCAGGCTTTCTGCTGAGCAGGAAGCCCGATGCGGGGCTTGATCCCAGGACCCTGGGATCATAACCTGAGCCAAAGGCAGATGCTTAACAGCTGAGCCACCCAGGCACCCCTGAACTGTACACTTCAATAAAACAAAAAATAAACTAAAACAAGCTAACAAACTGGTGGCAGGCTGGATTTGGCCCATAGGCCATAATTTGCTGAACCCTGATCTAAAGAATACTCCTTGAAATCTCTCACAAAGTCAGGTCTCACTTCCATCTTTTTCTTTGTGGGTGACTATTTAATAAACTTGGTATGTAATTTACTTCTTTATAAGGATATTACAAAAAAAAAAACCCACCTCTGAGAAGTCTTTGTTAGAATAAGGTTATACTATAAAACTTCTCTGGTCTACTAACCATATTCAAAAAGAAGACCAATCTAGTTTGATATGACTTGTTTCTAATGAATTTATGCTCAAATTATGTAAGAAACAAAACAGGAACAAAAAAGCAACCAAGCCAGATTGTGAAGGTGAGATATGTAATGTTTGCAACTTATTTACGGAAAATATTAAGAAAACTAATAAGGCAAGAGAATGAATCCACCAAGCCAAGAACTATTTGTTAAACCAACGAACTATTTTTATTTTAAAAAAGATTTTGTTTATTTGACGAGAGAGATAGCAATAGCAGGAACACAAGCAGGGGGAGTGGGAGAGGGATAAGAAGGCTTCCCGCCGAGCAGGGAGCCTGATGGCTCAATCCCAGGATCCCACGATCATGACCTGAGCCGAAGGCAGGTGCTTAACCAACTGAGCCACCCAGGCGCCCCACTAACTAATTAATTCATTAATTAAAGTAAGCTCTACACCCAGTGTGGGGCTTGACCTCACAACCCAGAGATTAAGAATCACATGCTCTACTGATTGAGCCAGCCGGGTGCCGCTAAACCCCTAAAGACACATGGTTGAGGTAGAAAGAATTATAAACTGTGGGGCCAGACAGGCCTGATACAATCTTATTAATCTTATTTTTACCACTTATGTGACCTTGGAAATCCTCAATTTTATTTTCCTTATTTGTAAAGTGAGATTCCTTTTCTCTCCCTCTCTCTTCCACGTGTGGAACATTGTGCCAAGAAATCCCACAAGTGAAAGAAATAGAATGGATCACAGTGTGGTCAAAATTTTTAAAGTGGACTTGGAAGATCCTGGTGATGGAACCAAAAATGAAAGTGCCACCCAAAAAAGTGAGGACTGTAGGCTACAAACTGGAATCCCAGGATATTTGGCTCCTGTCCAGTTAGGACATTAAAACTCACTTGAGACAAGATGAGCTAGTACATGTAACTAAAGCGGGACGTGGAATGCTGAGCAAAGATGTCCAAGGAAAATATATACCAAAACATCTTAGAATTAATCCTAATTAATAGTAAATTTAAATCCTCTAATCTCATCTTCTTTTCTGGCTCTCTTACTCAATTACTGCCAATATACCAATTCTCGCTCTCTCTCTATTTTTTTTTTTAAAGATTTTATCTATTTACTTGAGAGAGAGAGAGAGGGAAGGAGGGAGAAAACACAAGCAGGGGGAGCAGCACAGGGAGAGGGAGAAGCAGATTCCCCACTGAGCAGGGAGCCAGATGTGGGGCTTGATCCCAGGACCCTGAGATCATGACCCAAGCCACAGGCAGACCGACTGAGCCCCCCCTAGGCACCCCTAAAGTTTGTCTTTAAAATACATATGGTCAGGGGCGCCTGGGTGGCTTGGTTGTTAAGCGTCTGCCTTTGGCTCAGGTCATGATCCCGGGGTCCTGGGATCGAGCCCCCCATCGGGCTCCCTGCTTGGCGGGAAGCCTGCTTCTCCCTCTTCCACTCCCCCTGCTTGTGTTCCCTCTCTCGCTGTCTCTCTCTCTCTCTGTCAAATAAATAAATAAAATCTTAAAAAAACCCAAAAAACATATGGTCAAAGAATATATATAGTCAAAGTATTGTGTTCAAAAATTACTTGGGTTAGTTGGCATCCCCCTCCTCCCCATCGTTGCTGATTTTATTTTACTTTTTGAATGTGCAAAACCTCAACATGGTTCTAAAAGTAAAAACTCTACAAAAAGGTCCAGAAAAGGGTTACTCCCTTTTCTCTAACCTCTCCACCCTGTATCTTCCATCCGCTAGAGGGTCACCAATTTCATTACTTTCTGCTTATCCATTCTATGCTTGTGTTTGCAAAAATTCTTATTCCCCCTCTTTTGTTACACCAAAATCAGCAAAAATTATATTAAAAAGCCCTTAAACATATGGAAAAGGTATTCAATTTTACTCATAAGAGAAATGTAACTTAAAACTATACTGAGATACCATTTTTTCATCTGTTAGAATGGTAAAAAAATTCCAAAGCTTAACCACACAGTCTGTTGCTGAGTTGTGGAGAAGGAGGCACTCTCATGCATTACTACTGGGAAGGCAAAATGGTACAACTCCCATGGAGGAAAATTTGGCAGTGTCTAACAAAATCATAAATGCATTTACCCTTTGGCCAGCACTCCTACTTCTAGGTTTTTACCTTAAAGATACATGTCCAGCAATACTAAAATACATATACGTAAGGTTATTCATTATCGTATTGTTATAACTATTAGAAACAACTCTAAGAGTCCATACATGGGATATTTACTGAATAAATCTTGGCTCATCTACATAATACAGTACTATGTAGCTATGAAAAAGAACTCTATGAAATGATACAAGTGATTTCCAAGATATATTGGTAAGTGAAGAGAGAGTGTGTGTATATATATAATCTCAAGTCATGCCTCACTGATTCTTCATCCTAAAAAATCCTCAAAGTCCAGTCAACCTCTCTATTCTCTCTTTACATGCTGCCTCATGTCTTTATTTCCCTTCCTATTCCCCTAAGAATACATGATTCATTACTAAAATCATTCTCTTGCAACATTCATCTGACAAAACCCCAACCCTGAATGATATTCTAGCTCTCCTGTATCTTTAACTTTCCCTTTTCTCCACTGATTCCTTCCCCTTGGAATTAAACAAGCACAGGTTCCTCTAACCTAG